GAGATTTTTTTTTTTTTTTTTTTTGGTAAACTTTTGACTTTCTGTATGTAACAGCTTTTCAGAAGAAACCTAACATTAAACTTATATACAGTAATATTTAAATATAAAGGAACAATTATATGCAATTGTGTTTCATCAAATATATAAAGTTTTTCTCTTTGAAATTCTACCTTTTTTCTACAATGAATAGAAATTCAAGGAACACATGGGTTTTTTTAGTCAGAAAGTCTTTAAGAGGGCTTCTTTGATTTTCACAAATATCTTTCAGGAATCTTTTTTTCCCCCCTAAATTAAAACATTCCATTTCTTTATTGTAAAATTTCTCAGTTGCTCTGTTTTTTATTAAATACTGCCTTTCCTCTAAAGAAATCTAGGTGTAAAAGTTTTGGCTAAACCTTACTAAGACCCACCTTTGGAGGAAACAGATCTTTGGAGTCACTTAGTCACTTTTTGTAAAGCAGATTTAATGATTCTTATCATGCCAAACTTTTCTTTCATACAGGTTTCCCTATAGGAAAGAATTGGTATTAATTATGGTTATTGGTCATTTGACAGCCTTTCAAACCTAAAGTATTTTGCATTCTTGAACTTCTATCTCACAACATTAGAACTTACCTTGGACTTTGTAATTTTATTCACCCTGAGAATTTTATTTTGTCCTGCATGATATTCTTGCTATGGGATATCCAAAATCCTCAAGAACTTCGCCTTCACTGGGGACCAGATTTAAAGGTAATTTTTCTAAATCTGATTCCAAACCACAAATATCTGGCCTTTCCATCTCATCCACAAGGATTTCTTCCTAGTAGTTGATTGCACTTTCCATTTAATCAGATATTTCAAGGCAATTAATATGGCATGATGCTAAAATTAGACTCAAAAGCCATCAAAGAGGACAGCTGAACACATAACTCAAAGGAGTGCTTCTCATCAAATTTGTCCCCTTTGGAAATATATCTACCTACTCAGTTGTGGCTGCCATTCCTCATATCACATATGGGAGTTGGAAAATACATTCTATAAAAATAATGGCTTCCTTTATGTCGGCGAATATTCTCTCCTTTTTTTTTCTCTTTTCCACATTCTTCCTTTTCTTCCTTCTTGACTCACTCACTACTTATTCCCTTCTGCTTGACATAATCTTTTCCTACTTTGAGAATATACAGGACTGAGATGGAATAAGTCTAGAACCAAGGGAAATCATGGAATAAGGTAGTCATAAAACAGACTGAATTTGGGTGATGGGTTTATTAGTCTTTATTATGTTATTCTTTTGTTCTTTTTCTGAGTTTCTGAAATATTTAAAATGGGGAGTGATTAAAAATCAGGTGTAGGCATAATTACATGTAAATAGTATTAGACAACTATAAATTGATAATATGAGTCATTAGTTTAGGGCCATAAATGAAAGTATGCTGTAGCATTTTATCTTCATTTCTTTTTATATTGTGATTCCCATTTAAATAATGGGGCTAAAATAAATATTCAAGGAAGACATGAGATTTTAAATAAATCCAAGAAAACTAATTTGTTTGGTCCTTTGCATAAATCACCATATATTCTTGCCTGTTTCAGTGTTTCTCATGTTTAGAATGCTAGAGAGAAAAATGTATCAACTGTTTATGTAATTCTTAGGCAATTGTTGGTTCATTCAATTAGAAATAATAATAATATCTATTACACAGCATTGCTGTGATGATTACATGTAAAGGGCACAGAACAGTTCCTAGCATATTGTTAGCCCCAGTCTCTCTCTACCAGTGTTGCACAAGAGAAATTAAGTCTTACAGAAAATAGTTTGAGTAACTATTTTCTCAATTCTTCTGAGGACGATACATAGTACCAATTTAGATGCATAGGAGAGAAGTTAATTCATTGCGTACGATGCTTTGGTGTTAGGGCTTAATTACTTGGGGGAATCTCAATTGAGAAAGTCTGGTAAGTTCTCAAGACATGTTAGCTATTACTACTTTGGTTGCAAGTAACAGAAACCCATATTTAAACTGGTTTAAATAATAAAGGGACTTTATTCGTTCACATAAATGAAAAAACAGATACCTAAGGCTTCAGAGATGATTAGGACTCTGAGTCAGTGTCTCTGCTGTTTTGGTTCTACCTTTCTCTGGCCAAATTAATATTTCTCCTTTTTTACTTTTTTTAATTGAGTATAACTGATACATAATGCCACATTAGTTTTAGTTGTACAACTTAGTGATTTGACAAGTTTATACATTATGTTCACCACAAATGTAGCTACCGTCTGTCCCGTTACATTGCTATTACAGTATCATTGGCTATATTCCTTACGCTCTGTTTTTTATTCCTGTGATTTATTCATGCCATAACGGGAAGCCTGTATCTCCCTCTCCACTTCACACATTTTGCCCAAACCCACACCCCTTTCCCCTCTAGCAACCATCAGTTTGTTCTCTGTATTTACATGTCTGAATCTGCTTTTTGTGTGTTTATTCATTTTTTCCTTTTTTTTTTTTTAAGATTCCACTTACAAGTGAAATCACATGGTAGTTGTCTTTCTCAATCTGAGTTATTTCATTTAGCATAATACCTTCTAGGTCCATCCATCCATGTTGTCTCAAATGACATGATCTTATCCTTTTTTATGGATATATAATTATTGTGTATAAATCACATCTTCCTTATCTGTTCGTCTGTTGATGGACACTTAGGTTGCTTCCTTCCTGGCTATTACAAATAATGCTGCAATAAACATAGGGGTGCATATATCTTTTTGAATTAGTGTTTTTGTTTCCTCTGGGTTAATACCCGGTAGTGGAAATATTAATTTTTTGAAGAACCTCCATACTATTTTCCACAGTAGCTGCACCAATTTACATTCCGCCAACAGGTCATGAGGATTCCTTGTACTTCACATCCTCATCAACACTTGTTACTTCTTGTCTTTTTGATTCTAGCCCTCATTTTGACAAGTGTGAGGTGATATCTCACATGGTTTTGATTTGCATTTTCCTGATGATGAGTGATGTTGAGCATCTCTTCACATGTCTGTTGGCCATTTATATGTCTTCTTTACAAAAATGTCTACTCAAGTCCTTTCCCCATTTTTTAATTAGATTAATTTGGTTTTTTGGATATTAATTCCTTATTGGATATGTCATTTGCAAATATCTTCTCCCATTCAGAGGTTGCCTTTTTGTTTTGTTGCTTTTTTGTTTTGTTGATGATTTCCTTTGCTGTGCAGAAAGTTCTTTATTTTGGTGTAGTTCCAGCAGCTTATTTTTGCTTTTGTTTCCCTTTCCTTAGGTGACAACATGTAGAAAAAATTTTCCTACAACCAATGTCAGAGAAATTACTCTCTGTGCTCTCCTCTATGATGTTTATGGTTTCAGGTGTCCCATTTAGGTCTTTAATTCATTTTGCGGGTTTTTTTAATGTATGGTGTAAGAAAGGTGGTTCAGTTTCATTCCTTTGCTTGTAGCTATACAGTTTTCCCAGCACCATTTATTGAAGAGACTGTTTTTTCCCCATTGTATATCCTTGCTTCCTTTGTCATAGATTAATTGACTGTATAATCATGGGTTTATTTCTGGGGTTCCATTGATCTATGTGTCTATTTTTTTTTTTTGCCAGTAACATACTGTTTTGACCACTGCAGTTTTGTAGTGTATCTCGAAATCTGGTATTGTGATACCTCCTGCTTTGTTCTTTCTCAGGATTGCTTTGGCTCAAACCAATATTTTAACTAAATTTTCAGAAAAAAAATTTTTTTCTTAAATATAGGCTTATAGCTAAAAATCATAAGGTGTCTGTTGAATATGTTTAAGAAGCCTAGAACCTTTGGAATATAGTTGTTAAATTAGACAGGTTTTTTTTTTTTAAGATTTTATTTATTTATTTGACAGAGAGAGAGAGCACAAGCTGGGGAAGCAGTGGGCAGAGGGAGAGGGAGAAGCAGGCTTCCCGCTGAGCAGGGAGCCCGATGTGGGACTTGATCCCAGGACCCTGGGATCATGACCTGAGCCGAAGGCAGACGCTTAATCGACTGAGCTGCCCAGGTACCCCCCCCTTAATTTTTTACATAGGGTTTTATTTTTAAGCGATCTCCACACCCAGCGTGCATCTCGAACTCACAACCCCAAGATCAAGAGCCACATGCTCCACTGACTGAGCCCGCCACGTGCCCCTAAATTAGAACTTTTTTGCACTTAGGTGATTATATGTGATATTCATGTGTTCAAATATATAAGAAATGTTTTAAAGCCTGTAGGAACTATAGTTGTTCTTTTATCTCTACACAATTATTAGTTAAACTGCTTCAGCAGGCCATATTCTAGAAAAGACTTTTAAGGCAGGTTGCCACAAAGAGAAGAACAGAAAAACAAAAAGAGTGGGCTTGTAAGACTAATGCGATAGGATTTGAAGAACAGAGGAAGGGTATATGAGAATGCAATCCAGGTGGGAAGGACAGTTAATGCAGAAGAGCAGTTCTGTTGGAATGGTACCCTGACTTTATAGGGGAGCCACCCATTCTGTTACTGGAGCAGTTCTAGTTCATTCTTCCTGCCAAGGATGTTAGGAGAAGGTATATAGAAGGAAAGTAGAGCGTGTATTTGGCTGCAATTAGAAGGCCACACCAGACGATGTCCAGGGTCCCTTACTGGGGATGAAAAGATAGCAATAGAGATCTCCATGTTGGAACGTGCTCTACAGTACAACCCATTACTCTCAAGGTAATTTTACAGGACCTACAGCACATTTTAAAACCTACTTTCTAAAAACCTACCTCAAAAGGTACATTTTATAAGTTGTATGTGTTGTAAACAACTTCCACTAAGCATTATTTGGAAATATTCAGTGTAGTTTACTATAAATTACTTTCCAGAGATAGTTGGAGAACAGATTAGTTCAGAATTTAGCCAGTTAAAGGATATGCCCTTATGCTGTCCTATATCTTCAAATATTTGAGTACATGCTGTGAAAGTTGTCTCTTGTTTTTGGTTTGTTTTATTGTCACAAAACAGAAGGAAGAAGGAAAGCTTCAAGGACAGCTTAACAAGTCTGATTCTAACCAGTATATTAGGGAACTGAAAGATCAGATAGCAGAGCTGAATCATGAGGTAAGTGATGAATTTTGATCTTCACATATTTCTTTCTTCCTTCCTCTGTATTGTAACAACACTGTATTACTGGTTTATTACCGGCTATGACTGACTCTTTCATGATAAATATTTTCTATGAATCCCTGTTTATGATTAATAATACTTTAGAAAATTGTCTTTTTAGTAAGAATTGTTCTGTTCCAATACTGAGAATTAATTTTCCTCAAACCTTTTTATCATGATCTAAAATGCTCAATTAATATTTGCATGGCAATTTTTTTTTTTATTGTGATCTAAAAATCTTTGATAGTTTGTCCAGGTGTCATAAGTTACTTCAATTAAACTAAAGTTTTCTTTATACCTTTAAAATAGATCAGTGTTATTTACCGTTGTGGATAGAGGGAAGTCTTTTTACTCTTGTCTTCTTACTCCCTTCATGGTGGTGTTACTGAGATTGCAAAAAAGGATACTTGCCTAATATCAGTTAACAGATTTCTTAGTATCTAAACACTTTTTAAACTGGCAGTACCTTGAATCTGTGAGATTCGATTCATGAAACTTTCAGATAGTATTATTAAGTACTCTACTAAGTAATTTAAATTAATGTGTTTGATTAGAGAGATACTTTTTGTTAATGTAGCTCTAGGTCAATTTCCTTGTCCTTTATTATTTTCTAATGATAAGTACTTATCTAAACATGAATATAAAAGCATGTTTCTTATCTTGAATTATTTGTACAATAAGGTTTATTCACATTGAAAAGATTTGGGTGGGTAACATAACCTCATTTGTTAAGAAAGAAACTCATTTTGACCACTAAATTAATTTAAACCTCAAAGGAAAAAGTTTGGACATTACTCTTTCCTGGTATTACACCCTTCAGTTAAGGTCTGAGTGTTTTGGGTAATACCTCCTGGAGGTAGTCAATCTAAGTAAATTCTGAATGGAGAAACAAAACATTAACAAAAATGATAAATCTTAAATGTGGTTTAATTTAACTTATCCTGAAATTTGGGGGGTCATTCCTCTGATGTTCAACCATGATGGCATTTAAGGGATTCAAGATTGTGTATAATCTTTACCTATTTGTGTACAGTTTTTATAATCTCTTCTGATCTAATAGCCATGTGTGAAAGAACAAGTTACAAATAAGATGTTCTGGAAATTCTTATTGTTTTGAGAACCCTAGGAATTATTCCTTGTGTTCAAAAGCTTTTCGCAAAAGGAAATTTTGACTAAAATAAAGCCATCTCCCCTTTATAATTTTGACTTAGAGTGATTAGAAAGCTTTAATGTTGCTGAATTAAGAAAATTGTATAGGGATTGACTTTATTTCCAAGACTCGTCTAAAAATCAGCCAACATTAATTTTGCCTGTCATGTACCTTAACTAAAAATAATGATAATCTCCTCATCAGGACTGGCAGAAAACAGTTCATGAGAGGTCTCACTTTAATGTCACTTTTTTTGTGTGGCCTGTGAAAGTAATTGTTTGTCTTGCACAAACATGGAAAGAAAATTAATTGAGTAAAATTTTCTACCGTTAAAATAAAGAGCTATATTGTGTAAATTACAAACTAGAACAGTTTGTGATGAGATGCTAATTGTGTTATTCAAAGTACGCAGGTCCTGGGCTTAAGCAGGCCCCAGTGAGAAAATGTGTAGAGAAGAGGGTGAGTATAGTGCAGCTGGGGACCACACAAGAGTGCAGAGGTGAGAGTGAGCCAGCATGGGTGTGGGATTTAGAGGCCAGACTCGATTAAGAATTAATGTGATTAAGTTGTGGGAGGTAAGGGCAGATTGAATAGAACCAGCTTATGGTGAATCTTCAAAGCTAGAAGAGATTAAATTTACTAGATAAAATGAAACCATTATAGGTCTTCAGTTAAAGGTTCCTTTTCATTATGTTTTCGGAGCAGATTTTAATACATTCACCTGTTTCAAAGTTTTACAACTAAAGAAAGGTTAAGTGAAAACAAGTGAAATTTTAAACCAAGGTAATAGTTACGAGTGCACTGACTATACACATTACTCTTGGTTGGACCAGCTTCTTAAGAGGGTTACATAAGGTATCACTTTATTACTCTAGTGATTTTCATTCTTGTGCTATAGCACTTCACAATGAGGAAAAAAGCCTGTAACCAAAGTCAGTCTAATCTCTCCAAATTAATTTTTGCCTTGTGTGTTAGTTTGCCAGAATCTTTAGCTTTCACCATAAAATTAACTTTCAAATATTAATGTTATATGTGAACATGTGACTGTTAGTAGTCACTCTACTAGCTGATTTTTATACTTCTCAAAATGCTGAGGGAAATGTTGACAGAAACTGCAGATCTATAAAATAACAATAGTAGTTACTATTTATTGAGTACCCTCTATTGGTCAAGCATTGTGTCAGATACTTCATATTTATTATTATTAACCCTCATAATAATCCCACATGATGGTAGTATTCTCAGTTGAATAAATATGAAAACAGATTCACAATAATTAAGTAACTTGCCGGGGTTATACAAGCAGTAAATGGTTGAGCCAGGATTGAATCAAATTTGGCCTATCCTTTTCTGTGCTGTTTACAGACATTAGATTAGAAAACATGTCATCAATATTTAAAAATTTAAAGAATGGCAATTAATGACAGTATTTTAACTATGTTGTTCCTCCCTGAAACATTAATTTGCATACATCCAGTAAGTGAATTCTTCAGTTGACCTAGCCGTGGGAGCTCCCTCTCCTTCCCTGTTAGCATAGCAAATGGAGATTTATCTTCACTTCCTGCAGTTTACTGTGATCCATCCAAGTGCCTTCTCTGACTCCCAACCCCTGCAGTTCCTGCTGTCACCACCTAACTAATTATGCTCCTAATTTTACCTACTTCACATAGGAATGTTTTAACTTGGAACCTCTCATACCCTGCCAAGACCTTCATAGAAGCCACTGCGGAAACCCTTGCTGCCCCAGATCTGGCAAGAGCCTTGGTTAAATCCTCCTGTATCTGTACATCCTGTCCTCATGGCATACATAGAAAAGAAACTGGATCCCAGTTCAAGTCTTTCCTTATTCCATCTTCCCCACCTCCTGCCCTTCCAAACATCTATCATCATAGCACCTCCTAGGCACTGTGTTTAGAACTACAAATAAAGATTGAAACAGTCCCTCAAGGGGCTCACAGACTAACAGCAGAGACCGGTATACAAATAAACGAATTGTAATACATAATGAAAAATATTACATTATAGTGGTTACCATTCATTTAATAGTCACTCTGTGCCAGACACTGTCCTAAATGTTATACTTACATTATTTCTTCACAACATTCCTTGAAGTAGGTAGCATCATTATTATTCATGTTTTACATGTAATAAAACTAAGGTTCTGGGGTATTAAATAACTCCCCATGGTCATACAGTAGTTAGTAGTAGAAGTAGGATGTTAGTTCAGACTATAGGACTCCAGGCCCATTCATGCACTTAACTACCATATGCTATGCCTCCTTTGAAACATATAGGAATAAAATGGTAACAGCATCTGGGTTGGGTTTTGAAAAATGAGAAGAAATTTGTCACGCAGATTGGGCATCAGGAACATGTAAGTCAGATACATAAACCAAAATTGTAGGTTCTAGGAATGAATAAGCCATGTACTTTGCAACATAGGTCTGTCTTCTTATAGCTACTGACCACTGAAGGCAATGACTATTTTCTAAATGCTGGGAAAGGGAGCTAGAAGAAAGTAGAAAGTTATTCTCATTTAGAAGCTAAAAGAAATATACTCAGGACTCATGTAGGTATAGACATACTGAGAAGTATAATTTTATGGTTCAGCCAACTTACCAGTTGACTAGGCTTCTCTGGGCCCTTTGGAGCCTTGCTGCCATTTACAGTATTATTTTATAGGAAAATGCATACTAAACAGCTGATTTGAAAATGTTTTTGGATATAGGTTATGTTTTCACTTGTTCTTGATGTGATATGTTCTGGTGGATGTTGTAGGAATAGGTAAATTTATTCCAGTCTAAAGATAATTCATTTATGCTAAAAATTAAATACTTTTTTATTAAACAGCTTTGCTGAATTTTTATAATGTCATAATAGTTTTAATATGCTTTATGTCCTTAAAATCTCACAAAAGTAATTCTGATCCTATTTGCTTAGTAAGTTTTCTACATAGAGGAAGTTTTCCCTTTTTTCATTAAGCTTTCTAATGGTAGTTGCTAAACTGGGTGTAGATACTTTGGATGATTATTTTAATCTTCACAATTATCCTGTGAAAATTATTATTCCCATTTTATAGTCTCAGAGAGGCTAAATAACATGTCCACAGTCACATGATCAATAAGTAGCAGAAGCTTGAAGCAGGACTTTCATTTGACTGCGATGTATTAAACTTAGAATGAAGTAAAACCAAAACAAACTATACTTTTTTTTAAAAGAAAGAAAAAAAACCTTTAGAGCATTTTTGTTCATTAATAAATACCCTGCCTTGTTCTAGACATAATGAAACAAGTTTGTAAATGATGCAGACATTTTGTGAGACAAAGGAAAGAAAACTGTAGGAGTGTAATACGAAGCCATGAATAAGACCCATACAAAAATGCATACCACAAGAGTATCTATTTCTTATAAGTGGACCTCAAGCTTGGCTCTAAGGTTTTCAGCAGTCAACACAAAAAAGGGGGAAACCTAGTCACTTTAAATATGTCAGAGAGAATGTATAATGAAAACAGACCAATTGTTAGGAGAGCCACAACTATTTCTGATGGTGAGATCAAACAACAGTTTCTTCATTGCTTATCTGTGAATGAAACCTTCGAGTATGATCAACTATTATAGACCAGCTGTTATCCTTAATATTCTATAGTAGAATGTGTTCATAATCATAAAAATTGAACAATTTAAAGAACAAACTCTTTAAAGACTTTTGATAGAAGTACAACATGGCGGAAAGTGCTCAGGTGACAAGTTTAGAGCTCAATAAATTATCACAAAGTGATCACACCCATGTAACTTCCACCCAGGT